GGAGCATAACGAGGCAAGCTTCAAACAAGGCAGACCCGCAATAAACGAACTCTGTATAGCCAAGACTGTGCCTGCACGATATTAGACTGAATCGTGTTTTCTTTAAACCTCATGACGGACTTGCATAAGAAATTGTCAATTGTTACAGAAATCCCAAACCCAAAAGCCCAAAGATGTTTTACATAATGTTTAGATTTGAGAGGTTTTTGGATGTTGTGAATGTCTTTTTCTGTTTTTTATAGAATCCAAAAATCCCGAAGAAATGTTTGTATGTTGCTGGTGTTGCTGGTCAAAATGATTATACTCTCTAGTTTTTGACCTGTAACGAAATCCAAAAGTTCCGTAGGACAGACAAAAAACCCTAGAGCATATAATGGTGTTGACCAGCGACAATTCCAAACATTTCCATTGGAAATCCAAAAAAACGAAAACATCGCAAATCCAAGGATTATTAACAATGGTTGGGTTTTTGGATTTGCCAGTGTCTGCAGATATCGAACTGTTTGTAGGCTTGGTACATAAATTTCGCACACGGAGCGTCGGCGCTCCTCACAAGCTGACACGAAGGACGCGAACCTGCTGTTGTGGTTATCGAACTGAACCTTTATTCTGGATAGCTATCTTTGATGTGATGGCATGTGTTTATGCTATGTGTTAAAAGCCGTCGATGTGGAGATGCAGTTTGTTATTACCAACATGTATGTTTGTTATTCAGCTTTTGTACCTTTAACAGCTATCTCGACTCCGGCTAGATCATATGGGGGGCAGAGCAAATATTGCCCAATTGCCACGGCCTTCTCCCGGCAGTTCTGCAAGGTCCGCGCCTTGCGTGTCATCGACAAGGCGCAGAAGAACGTGCAAACCTTAAGGATCTTCCAAGAGCACCATTAATTAAGGGGCTAGTGCATAGGGTATTAGGGTTCATGTACCTATAAACAAAACACCCTATAAAGTACACACTCAGGCTCTCAGGCACCAAAGGGGATCATACACAAATCCGAAACCTCAACCCCGAACTTCAGGTATGTACTGCATGGGAACCCGAACCCTCAGGGTAGCATGCCAGGTTTTATACCCAGATCCGCTCTGTGTCTCAATTTTGGGGTTTAGGGTTTTGGGTTTAATAGTGGCCCGCAGGTTACTGGGTTGCATACAATGATTTGGAGCCCAAACTCCTGGGTAACCTAGTTCGAAGATGGTTTAGGGTATACCTAGAATAGCCAATGTAGCATTAAAAACAGGATAGCAGCCAACATGAAAACAGATGTTTTTGTTGAGGCACCTTGGCTGGTATTCTTGATGCTGACAGATCTAATTACACATTCAGTCTTCAAACGCCCTGAGGCGTAGGGGCTCAGCGAAAGGAACCTGCTTGCAGACTGGCTAGGGTTTAGGGCAAAGTTTAGGGTATAGATGGTGCAAGACGCGAAGTATTCCACAACAAGGGTGAAGAAGGGAGTTCGTCAAGTGCGGATGTCCAAACCCTCCTACTTCTATTGACTGGTAAGCCGGGATAGTAACCTGTATAGCAACCCTGGATCCTTGAAAAAGACCTTATTGAATTAATCCGATCTGGTTCTAACTAATAACTGCCCACTTGCAGCCATACCCCACGGCATGCATCCTTGAAGGTTTTGGGGTTAAGGGATACTACCGGCGATACTGTCAATGGCCACTTTCAGGGACCATTGAGGAGTTTGGGGCAAGCTTCCACGCAAAAGTTGCCCCAACCCGTAAACCCCAATCACCCAAACGTTTTTCCCCGCGCCAATCCTCAACACGAACGCCTTGCAGCTGTGAAGGTTAAGTGGAAGGGAGTTTGTGTTTACGTGACGATTGAGGTTCGAGCCTTCTGGTGTTGAAAGTTGTTGGATGTAGCAGATTGCCTGGTTCCACCGTGCCGCGATGGCCCACCATTCAATGGTGTCGGCGGCTGTGAATATCGATCTTGAACATGTACAGGGCAATGATGTCGAGCCATCAGACGGCCCGGAGGACCCTAAACCGTAAACCGTTTAGGGCTCGGTCCGGACGAGCTTTTTGCTCGAGATCCAATTCCATGTTGAGGCATTGCGGACGAGCAACCCCATGTCCCTTCGCAAGGTCAGGTCATAAACTTCATAAACTTCGGCTCTTATAAGTTATCCGAAAGTGCGAAAATCGTCACTCTGGCTTCCCTACAATCATCCCTGTTTTACCACAGAATGGAGCCCGCGCGAGTCGTGAATTTGGCTCTGTGGTTCTAAGGATGGTCATTAGCATGCAGTCAGCCCTAGAGCTTTACGGTTTTAAGGGCTACTACAAGGGCTACTACAAGGGTTGCTACAAGGGTTACTATAAGGTGCCGGGTATGGGAGTCCTGGCCGTAGCACGGATGTCCGGACTAGGAAAGGCACCACAAAGACTGCGATGATAGGATGCAATCAATGGGTCAATGTCTTCAAACAGGGCCCCTAAACCCTAAACCCTAAACCCTAAACCGAAGCTCGAACACAACAAGCTGGAGCTCCGGCAGTTCAGATGGTTGCACGATCTAGGTGCGAGTGCCAAAGCTGGAGATACTCGCATAATGTGGCAGATTGTTGTGGACTGAGATATCACAACTAGCACTGCATATTTATTGTTTGGAATTAAGCCCAAGTCATCTTCTTTTGCTTGCACTTCCTAAAAGAAGCGGCACCGCGAAGGGTTGAGGATCCGCCGGATAAACTCTTCAAGCCAAGCATAACTATGATATATTCTTGAAAATTGGGGGCCGGGCCGGTTCCCTCCGTAAGCTGAAAACAAATTGAAATCACAACGAGGAACTTTTCCTTGCGGGATAGAGAGAGTCCTCGTTCTTTCATGGGTACTGGACTTCGTCTAGAGAGTTTGTGTGGAGTTCATCATCCGAAGGGTTCATAGGTATAGATTGGCCTTCATGTAGTCCCTATATAGGCATTTTAGGGCCACTGCATATACGATTCAGGTACATGGACCCTTAGGGTCATGCAGGGATTTCCAGCCCAGCCTTTTCTCATAGGCTCTCCTTGACCCAATGACAGGAACCGTAGGCCCAAAACCCCCTCCATGTATTAGTATATACGTAGGCCTTGAGGGGGGTCCTATATAGGTAAATCCGAAGTATATACTGTATATCTATATAGGTGCATGGAGCCCTAGGGTTTTGTCCCGTTTAAGGTTTGAGGTTTCCGGGTGTGGGGTCTAGCCTTAAAAATGCAACACCCAGAGAGCTCCGGAAGCAGAAAGCACCCAAACCCTGGGCCCGTATACCCAAACGGGATGTGAAGGAGATCGTGGAGGAGATGGAAGTGCAGCGCCAGACGAGCCACTCTACAAATCCGCGCCTTGGTTAAATGGCAATTGTTTCCATTGATTCTCTGGTTTCCTGTAGTGGTTATTTTAATGTAGATTTTAGACCCCTTGTCGGCAGTACCTACAAAAACTTACTGTTGCTTAAAGGGTAGGACCATATAGGACCCTAAAGCAGAGGTACATGTCACTTTGTTTGGTACGTTGGCTACTCTGTTTATTCGTAAACTTGCAGCCTGCGGGGGTTGCAGTGGTGGAGATACTTCAGGATTATGGGGTGATGGGAGCTGTTGGAGGGTGTTGGCTATATTCCGCTACCTGGCTTCATAGATCTAGGGGGTATGGTTGTTTGTCCGCAAGACGGCTTTTCTCAAGCTTGGGTTTCTTGAACTGCCCCGAGTCCAAAGACTACTGAACCTAAACCTAATACCCCAATCCTAATACCCCAAAACCTTCTCAACCCTAAACCCTAAACCTTGTAAACCCTACAAACCGTAAACCCTGAGTCCCCTACACGGCTCCTTCCGAAGAGTTTAGCCTGGGCTGCTGAGGTCCGGAAAGTCTGAGCGAGAGAAGGTCGAGGAGTTTACGATGCAGCGCGAGATTGAGCGCTTGCGCTCCCGGGCTCTTCTTCAGGGATTTGGGGTTTGGGGTCGAGGGTTTAGGGTTTAGGGTTTAGGGTTTAGGGTTTAGGGTTTAGGGTTGCTCTGCTTAAGGGATTTAGGGTTTGGGGTTTAGGGTTTCGGGTTCAGGGCTTCAGTTTAAGTTGCCTTCATAGGGATCTATAGCAAAAAATAGGGTTTCCTTATTTTACATGAAATCCCTTGACAAGTACCCAGGCTCCTTCTATTTCGTGCTCCAGCTGGCCTTTGCTACTCTTGCCTCTGGAGTTATTCTGACGGCTTTGACAGAACTCATGTGGAGAAATCTCCCTGCTGGACGCACGACTGAGAGCATTATATCTGGCCTGTCTGTCTTAGCATGGTTTTTGACGTCTTCATCGATCACCATTGTTTCGACTTGCCCGATTGATGAAGTGGACCTCAACTCCTTCATGCACCTGTTCTTCTAAGCCACATTTTGTCAAATACTTCAAGATAGCGGAAGAATTGAATGTGTGATACGGCAACACATGGGGGTTTCCGAAAATAAGGGACCCTAATATGGTACCCTAAATAGTAGGATCCTTATTATAAGGACCCCCAAATAAGGTACCCCTTATTTTCGGAAACTCCCACATCGCTTAGCCACAATGCACCAAAAGTCTCGGAAGGATTTAACTTAGAGCAGGTCTAGCACCTGGACCTGATCCCCAAACTCCGAAATCAATATCTTTAGTAAGCACAGTTATGAGTGCCTTAATTGGGGTCATAAGTACTATAAATATAGTTATAGTTATATTTACCTTTTATAAGCCTCGCTACTATAAATAAATAAACAAATAAATAAATAAATAAATATATATATATATATATATTAATCCCATGATCCTTTAAGTAGGCAGTCTCGGCCATTGGCATGCGCTTTTCTGGCTATCCCGCCATTGTCATCATCTGCGCCACGGGTGTTGGAGAGGCCAACAGTCCGCGAAACCTCTTGCTTCGTACAAGACTCTGGTATTGGCAAGTCGCTTGCAAATCTTGTTGCGTGGATCTGTTTGTCTATGTAACTTGAAGGCTCATGACCTACCTATAGTCTCCATTGTGGTTCCTTTCTGGGCTTAACCAGTTTTATATTAAGGATCCGAAAAGGTAACCTCAAAAAGGAACTACAAGGGAGACTATACTTATTGTTTGGTTAGCGTTCAGGGCTACAGGATTCGCAGCAGCGAATCCTCATGCCTAAACCCAAAATCTACCCTGCTCAGTAGCATGGAGGTCGGACCAAAGAGACAGAGAATCTGCCTTTTCCGTCAATCCCAAGAATGCTTAAACCCTAAACCCTAAACCCTAAACCCTAACCCCTAAACCCCTAAACCCTTAAAAGTTCCTGTGTTAGTTCCAGAGAGGCCTTACGGGCGATGGGTCTCCTGCCTCGCCCCTCGGCTGGCGGGTTTAGGGTTTAGGGTTTAGGGTTTAGGGTTTAGGGTTTCGGTGTAGGGTTTATGGGGTGGAAATTTTAGGTTTCTATGTCTCAGAGCTTCTGGATTCTTGGGATCTTTAGGGTTTATATGGGGTTTAGGGTTTACGGTTTAGGGGATAAGGTACCCTAAGCCTCAACCCCAAATACTCCTCCCCTACCCGGCCCCTTAAGGATCTAGCATCTGCGGAGGATTAAGCCTTGCCTGGTAACGCAGGTAGGTTGTGAGAAACGTAAGGGCTAGTCGATGACAGTCGAGGTGCGTATAATGGGTTTTTGAATGGTTGATGGCTACCTTAAAACGAGGAAGTAGACGCAGCATTTTAGGAGTGAATTCCATTGTCTTGGGGAACGCAAGAACCCGCACTGCTGATTTTCAACGGTGATGTGCACACTACAATTACAAGCCGAGGAGCACACTGTAAAATCTTCTCTCCCAACTGCAAACGTAGCGAGTAAGGATGAGAAGTAGGATTCCGAGGAAGATATTGCTTCGACACCCTATACTCCTTCTAGTAATGCTTAGTTTTACCTCTAGATTTAATGTAATACCTCTCATGGTAACAAATACCCATGCTGCTGAGGTGGGGCTGGCTTTATTAGTACATGGCTGCACTTGCAGGAGGAGATGTCTGCGAAAGTGCCCCAAACTCTGCAGACACCTTTGGCCCTCTTTTTGCACTCTGATGGAGGTCTGGTACTTGGACACGATGCTCGCGGGCACCTTGACCGAAATAGCCTCGAATGACCGCATGCTCGCCTTCAATATTTGGTCGGCTGCGACTACTGCTCCAGCCTTCCTGCTGGAGGGATGGTTGCGCTGGAGAGGGGTAAAGCCCACCTTACGATTCTACATGATGAGCTATGCTGCGCTGATGAGCACCAGTGGTTACCATGCATGCAGAGGGATTGAGATGGCCCTTGGATTCAGGGACTGGGAGGAGGGTCGACAGCTAGATATCGCCATTATTGCAGCCTTGTCCTTCGCTGCAATGCTGCTCCTTCCACTTCTGGGTGTGCTGTTCTTCGGACGACGGCGGCTCTTTCGCCTGTTGTCGGAGTGGCTGGACCAGCGCCGTGGTCAAAAGCTCCAGGACCTAAACCCTAAACCCCTAAACCCCTAAACCCTAAATTAGAAGAATAGACCCTTAACCTAAACCCTGAAACCCTAAACCCCTAAAGTCTAAATCTCCAGGATGGGGCCTTCATGGCGATGCTGCTGGACTCCTACCTGGTGGAGCTGGGACAGACCCTTGGGCTTCCGGCAGCAAACCTTTTCCAGAGGTTTAGGGTTTAGGGGTTTAGGGGCTGAGGGTTTAGGCTTTAGGCTTTGGGAGTTTAGGCTTTAGGGTTTAGGGGTTTAGGCTTTAGGGTTCAGGGGTTTAGGGTTTAGGGGTTTATAGGGTTTAGGGCCTGAGTAGGTAACCTGTAGTCGTAACTTTACCCCTTACTTGAAGAGGTAAACCGTGTTCAGTCAGTCAGCTCTACTGCCTGTACTATAAGCAAACCTTGAATCACTTCACTAGATTGAGTGGTCGTGCTCGTCAGCGTCGACGCGTCGCCACACCATCGCCGTCATGCCACCCCAAAAACCATGATCGCCGCCATCAATGCGACATCCACCGACCTCCCACGATACCTCATGCTCTCAACTGCAGCACCACGACCGGCCTCTACGACACCGACAATGACGATTACCGCCTCTCACTGCGGACTACGGCTTCCGGGAGGGTGCTTCCAGACACTGACGACCGCAAGTACGGCTACTGCCCGCAGCTACCACTCGAGTGCCGATGTTGTGCTACCGCTACTTCTACCCCGCTTTTGCTACTGATACTTCTACTGGGGCTCCTCCTCCTGCTGCCGCTATCCGACTCCTGTGAGTATTACGACGGCGGCGGCCACGACGACTACGTTTTCGCTTCTGATTCACCACACGATGTAGGATGATCTAGTGTTTGTTTGTTCATGTCAGCCTTATTCGCTCCTACCCTTTAACTTTAATGCGTGTTTACAGTTTAGAGAGCACTCTCCCCAGAGATTCCAACGTCCCGCAATTAAAGAATATGCCTTAAATCATAGTAGGATCCCACATATGAAGTAAGGTACATATTCCTTAATTAAGGCATACTGTAAGGCCCTAAACCCTAAACCTTGAACCCTAAACCCTAAACCCTAAACCCGTGGCCCTAAACCCTAAACCGTCGGGTAGCCACTCGTTCGACTGAGGCCATGGTGGCTGTCCACCGAGGAGCTTCGGGACCTACCCGACGTCTCCCAAGTCCCTGGGGTCCTCCGTCCTTCCTCCAGGCCTTTGACAGGCCTGGCAGTCAGCTTCATGGGCCGATGCATGATTTCGGTTTTGGGTTTAGGGTTTAGGAGGTTTAGGGTTTTGGGTTTAGGGTTTAGGAGGTTGCTACCTTTGAGGGTGTCTTTGTGATTTGTCCAGTTGAAGATCTTGGTGTTGTTGTTGTTGTTGTTGTTGGTGGTGGTGGTGGTGGTGGTGGTGGTGGTGGTGGTGATGGTGGTGGTGTTGGTGTTGGTGGTGTTGGTGTTGGTGTTGGTGTTGGTGTTGGTGTTGCTCTTGGTGTTGGTGTTGGTGTTGGTGGTGTTGGTGTTGGTGTTGGTGTTGGTGTTGGTGTTGGTGTTGGTCTTGGTCTTGGTCTTGGTCTTGGTCTTGGTATTGGTCTTGGTCTTGGTCTTGGTCTTGGTGTTGGTGTTGGTGTTGGTGTTGGTGTTTGTGTTGTTGTTGTTGTTGTTGGTGGTGGTGGTGGTGGTGTTGTTGTTGGTGGTGGTGGCTGTGGTGGTGGTGGTGGTGGTGGTGCTGGCGCTGGCGCTGGCGCTGGCGCTGGCGCTGGCGCTGGCGCTGGCGCTGGCGCTGGCGCTGGCGCTGGGGCTGGGGCTGGGGCTGGGGCTGGGGCTGGGGCTGGGGCTGGGGCTGGTGCTGGTGCTGGTGCTGGTGCTGGTGCTGGTGCTGGTGCTGGTGCTGGTGCTGGTGCTGGTGGTGTCGTCGTCGTCGTCGTTGT